AAAAAAAAAAAAAAAAAGAAATGGCTTTTCGGCTAAACTCAGTAATGGTCTCCAGCAGCAAAAGATCCAGGGAAAATTTTCTCAGAAGAGAAACCTGGGTAGTTGCCTTTTATCTGGGAAACTGGGGTTAGCTTACTTAGAACTACTCAACTTCATGTGTGGGTAGAACCACAGTTAAAAATTTTTAAGATAATCATGGACACAAAAAAGTCTGTTGGCACTTCAGCTTTTCTCTTTAAGTTTTTGCTCTTCAACTTTCCTGATGTCTGCTTCTTCTTTCCCAAATTAAATTTAGAGGTGGTCGTCGTCTTTGAGAGAATTAACTTGGTGATAGCAACAGATTTTGTTTCTAGCAGCAGAAGCCACTATTGGTTCACCCACCACTTACCCTTCCCATCAACGGCTCACTGCCGTTCACATACAACTGGCAAGTGCTCCAAAGATACCCAAGGTCCCCTTAGCCCATTCCTAAGGAATATGTATTAAACTGAAGGCAGCCACTGGGCAGTTTCTCCCAGCAAATCTTTTCTCTGGCCTTCATATAGATCTAACCATAATTATTAGTAGAGATAGAGAGATCTGATTGCTGCAAACCTTTTCCTCTTTCTTACTCCGCTGTCCTGCCTCCCAAGCCTCAATCTCCAGTCCTCAGGGCGCGCTGGCTTTAGCCCTGACATGCCCTGTTTCCTCACACCTGTATAAAAGTCACTATGATTTGGCCTGTGATCTGCCTGCCGGATTTCTCATTTTTCACTTTGACTCACCTCTGTGCCTCTCTCCTTTGGAAAATGGATAGAACGGCCTTGACATTTGCAAACACTTAGTATTTGAGCTTTTGGCACAGGCAGTTGGTGGGAGACAGCGATACTGGGGGGCGCGATGGTGAACCTCTCCTAATCAGGATGCTCGGTGTTATTCCTATTTCTCCCTTCCAGGATGAAAACATAATGCGCTCCATGCAGCTCTTCGAAAACGTGATTTAACTTGTCAGATAGATCCTCGATCCAACAGACAAATGTGAACTATTCTGCCACACTAAAGTTGGAGCTACCACTCTTAGCATAGATTGCTGAGCTTTACACTGAAGCATATTATGCAAATAAGCTTTGTTTTAATATAAAGCAATCCCTTGAAGATTTGTTTTCCAGTTATAATAAATTTGCATCCTTTTCATAATGCCACTGAGTTCATGGAATGTTCTATCTCATTTCATACTCTGTGAATATTCAAGAGTAATAGAATCTGGCATCTAGTTTTGTTGATTCTTTTGCCACGGGACTATTCAGGCTTTCTCTCTCTGTGATTTTAAAATATTGGTGGTTTTTGCTACTTATTTGTATGTAATCAGTCCTAAGGTTTTAAATGGCTTTCTAAAAGGTTGACATCTGAATTTAATTTCCAGAAATTAATTTTCCTGTTTGTATGCTATAATTCCATTTATATAATTTAAGCAAACAAGATGAACACCACTAAAAAAAGAACACATACTCCCAGTTTCTAAGGATGGCCGCCATCTGTTAAAGACATTATCTGCCATTTTTAAGAACATTTAACAATGGGTTGAACAACAGCTATCAACCTATGCCTAATAAAACTTATTTTAGTAAGCATGCCTTGATTTTCCATAATACAAATTACAGTGAAGGCCTACGTTCACATATATAATTTGGCATTGGTTCAGTCTTACAGGCTGTTTTCTGTTGTGTCACTAAGTGAAAGCTTAGAGGGCATGAAACAAAGCAAGGGTGTTTACAAATATCTGCCCAGGGTCAGGGTAATGCTTGATAACAAGTAACCCTTGACAGCCATGAAGGGCAAGTCCATCCCCCTCCCTGATGTCCATACAGCATGTTTATATGTCAAGCCATTCAGGGACAAAGAGACCTTGGCTGTCCCGATGCCTACTAGCAACAAACAGCAAGTATAATACTCTCTGAAAGTACCAGTGACTCACTTACATTACCAAGACTTAGTAGACGAGCGTAGGTGCTGGACAACGCAGCTTGGTTTATGACGTTATGATTTAGCTCATCATAAAACTCCAACAATCCAGATTCTAATGATCTTCAGCAAGACTACACAGTTGCCACGTTACTGAAAATTCACACACCTTCTCTGTTCTGTAGAAACACCACCTAGACGGAGAGGCTACAGGAGGAGGAGATTTGCAACAATAAATCAGGTATCTATTCTGGTGTAGAGATAGGATGTTGAACGCTGCCCTGCTATCACCAGTGTAGACATTAAGAGTAGTACAATACCTGTACACTGAAATCTGCCATCACGTGTTTGTGTAAACTCAATGTGCACATTTTGTATTTCGAAAAGAAAAAATAAAAGCAAAATAAAATGTTTATAACTCTACTGTCTGTTATAGATCTTTATTCTAACAAATTTTCCAATTATCAGATTAAGTACATTATTTTTTTCTTAGGACATTTTTAAGATTGTAGACATCTTTGGATGGTGCTAAGTAAAAGGAACAGCAAGGCTACAGCACAAGCAGCTGTGGCAGCCAGTGTGATCTGAGGATCAGACAAGGCAGTAGTGACCGGAGCAAAAGGAGCACCAGACACAGGGCCCAGGCAGCACACACACTCTGGGTAGGAGCATTTCTGCACTAAGACTCCTCAGAGATTAGGAAGGGCATTCCTTCATGTTTCTGGGGTACAAGGTTGTTGCTAAGAGTGATCTCTCATCCCAATCCTTTCCAAGCATTCATCTGCTTTGGATTTGGTGGGGCTACTTTTCTTGCCCATAAGATGACAGAAGGCCTTACTCCTGTTCTCTGTCTCTCTCCCTCTAGTCCTCTTTGGCAGAGTAATCTATAGTTAGCTTCCCTACATAAAAGTCCGAGCTACCTTGTAAATTATGTCTTAAAGTTATTCTAAAAAAAAACCAACTGTTAAATCTATTAAATACAAGAAAGCAAAACAAAATCACTAAATATGTCTTAAGTTTCAAGATTTAATTTCTGAACATCTTTATGTGTATATCCGTATTTATGACTATGAAATGCAAAAATAACATTTACTTAAATACGATTAACCCCTAAAGTTTAGGTAGTTTTAAAAAGTTGTAATAACAACATATTTGTAATAGAATTTACAGTTGGAAACAATTTCTTAAACTAGAATACCGTGGAAAGAAATTTTTCCAAGCATTCTACATTATAAAACTCATTATTTACAACCAATTACTTAATAGTGTATTCACAAATGTTTGTGCACTATTTTAAATTTCTATAGCACTGATAAATATAAAACCCAAGAAATGACAAAACATCTACAAAAGTAAGTGCACAGCTACAAACTGATTACGAAAGAGGCTGAAATAAACGAAAAGGCACGAGATAATAAATACAAACATATCCTGCGAACACAACAATGGCTCTTCAAACAAATGACAAAAGTATAAAAAATAAACCCCACAGAATCTTACTATTGCAGAACTTCTTTCCTTTATTAACTGTTCTTCCTTGTTGAAGAATAACTTTTACTATGATCCAGTGGACACTCTTCTTACCTAGTAAATAATGAATGGTGGCTGTGATCTACAGAAGAGTACAATGAACTGTCTGAAGGAAGGTCCCACGGCTCCCTGTCGGTGTCTGACACAAGCCCCAGGTAGTGAGATGATTTTCCTTGGCTCCCTTCTTCAACAGCAAATGGAACAATATGTTGGAATTTTAGATTTGATGATGATAAGGCTTCCCTGTCAACAGAAAAAAAAAAAAATTGGCATTATCAGTAATATGCAGAGTTTTCCCCTAGTAGGTATGATATTTGCAGCTACACACCTAAAAAGTGTCTAAAACTCAAAATGAACAAAAAGGGATGAGAACAAAATGATGGAACAATTTTCCATCATTTTCCTAGTTTTTTTTCCTAGCTTTCTCTAGGTTAAATAAAATATAGGTTTTGGTGATTTTTTTTAAAGTATCTAACTAAGAAAGTCATTAGAAGCCAGACTACCAATATTTAAATTCAGCTTCTACCAGTCACGTCTTTAACCAAACCTGGTCTAACTATTTCTCTGGACCTCAGTTTCTTGATAATAACAAAATCTACCTCTGAAGATTCTAAAGATTAAAGGAGTTTTATGTCTGAAAGCACTCAGTAGAGACCTTCCACACGGTCAGTTCTCACACACTACAAGGACTGAGACAAGTGTGTGTCTGTGTCTTTCTCAAGACTAACAAATGCACATATCACTAGAAAAAAATCAGGCTAAGAATGAACTGAGTTCAATTTAAGGCAGGCAGTGCAAAAATCAGCACTCATAAAGTAATACAGTGATTGTCGTAACATTTTTGTTCCTCAGAGGTTAAGTGTATGGTTGTGATATACACAAACCCTAAGAAACGTGCAGCAAAGCTTTTTAAAGATATATTTTTACTTTAAAGAAAAAGAAATACAGAAGTTTTTAAGTTGCTAGAAGAGAAAGAAGGGTATTCATTAATTTTATGAAAGATTACAAAATGCCAAAGAAGGCACGATAATCATTAGGGCAAGAGAAAGTCTCTGACCTGTAATTGCAATAAAACATTTTACTACTTTTCTATTATTAAAATAGTACGTAGGGCATAAAGAGGGAACAAGAAGAGGAGTAAGAAGAAAACAAACATGCTGACTGCCATTATAACTACAAAACCTTTTTTTAAAATTCTGTATTAGCAAGGCTCAAAGCTAATGTGATTGAGTGGGTCTAAAAGAAAAATTCACTATTTCTGGGATTACACCTTCCGTATTCCCTTTCCAAATCTTCTGTGGGCTATTCCTAATCTTTATCTATATGCAAAGTAATCCCTATTCCCACACACAGCTCCATAAAATGTGACATCTGGGCACATCCCCTTTCTACCTGTCTCATTCCCTGTACTGCTCCAAAGGACATGGACAATCACCGTTGCAGACAGAAGGGTTGTGCCATCATTATTTAGCATCTATTCGCTCTTCACAGAGGAATAAAGGGCAAACACATTGCATCAGATTTTGAGAACAGAAAGCACATTTCTGCTGAGGAGGGAACTCGGGATTAACCAGTGAAGGGTCCTGCAATCTCCTCAATAAGGTGTCTGAATGCCAATTCTCAGCTCAGGACCAACACAACAAGGAGAATCATTACCCAGCAGGCTTAGGGACTCCTATCAACTTTAAGCATTCATCATGGAAAGAATATAATCAACATAAAAAGTCACTAAAATTGGTCAATTAGGGCATTAAGGCAAAACATAAATTGTCTGTCATTTTTAAATTGCATACAATCACATAGATTTTCTTATGATTAATTCCTTTAGAAAGTACCTAGAATGAAACTAAGTTCTGCAATGGTAAGATAATCACATGCAATTCTATCACTAACATATGATTAAATGCAACGTCCCAAAACAAGAATCCTTTATAGAAATACAGGGTGTCCATAAAGTTTGCATACAATTTAAAATAGACAGACTTTAATGGACACCCTATATTTTCAGATTAAATAACCTGAATACTTCTCGCAAGTGATAAAAATTCAATTAACCTAATGATTTGAAACAACATAACAATGAAATTCCCCATATTCTTCCCCTTGAAAAGTTAGAATAATCAGCTGAACTATTCAGGAGTGTGTGCGTGTGTGCGCATATAACACTGTGCTATGAATTCATCTGCAGACAAGATGGTGCAGTCATTGGGTATTCATTCAATCTTTCATTAAAAATGGATTCTAAATTTTGAGGCATAAAAGATGGCACATGAAAAGGAAAAACGTATCTCTCTTAGTGAGTTTTAAGTTAATCCTTTGGTTTTATGAGTTTACCAACAGTCAAAACAAAAATATCTGAAGTGCTTTAAAGAAAAAAAAAAACAAAAACCTAACACTATACCACACAGACTGCCAGGTAGTGAGCATCATGAAAGTTTAAAAGCTTTGTATTTCTGCAACCTGGGTCTGAGTCCCAGTGCTTGAAAATGGTGACCTGGTCAAGATAGAAATTCTGAGCTTTAAAATGAAAAGAACAGTATCAACTTCACACAGCTACTTGACTTGTAGTTAAAATTAAATTTTTAAATGAAATAGTGTATATATGTTAAATATACAGTCAAATTTTGTATTATGACTAAAAGTAAAGAAGAAAAAACCATGACTTAAGGAATCATGTTCTACTTACGCTCCCACCATGCTGCTCTAGCTTCTGTAAGGCACTGGTGATGGGCTCTTTGAATTTCTTGTCCATTAGTCTCTTGGAAAGCTTTTAAAGTAAGATTGGAAGCAAAATGAAATGATTTGGAAAAGTAACAATGTTCATCATTTACCTAAGTGAAATTTCATAAATTTTTCTTAATTTAGGTTTCAATTTATTTTTATTTCAAGTAATACTGTAACTGCAGACCCTGCCCAAACCAGGCCTACTCTGTGGATAACAAAATGCCAAGTCACAATAGAGCTAAAAACTGCACATAATGTAGCCCTGCACGCACAATAGAAAAAGCTCTGAAGTTAGATGACACATGGAACAAATGATTCCTTCCCTCTGAGCCAAGACCAGGATGCGACCAGAACTTGAATGCTGGAACTCTTTTCCTAAGTAAGAAGCCCATTGGCCCAGAAGATGTAAGGCTATAATCCATAAATATTCAAATTTGAAGCCTTCCAATCAGAGCCTGCCACAACAACATTCCTAAATCCTTTCCCTTGCCCTCCAAGCCCATAAACCTGCCACTGGACCCTAACTGGGGAGACAGATTTAGGCCTTCTCCTATCTTCCTGCTGACCACTTTTGCAATAAAGCTAATAAAGCTTTTCTTTTCTCAAAAGCTGGTGCCATATAGTATTGACTTCTGTGTACAGTGTATAGCGACTCCGTTTGCTTGATAACAATACGAATCCAATAAAATCTGCTACATAATGCCATCTGGAGTTGAGTTTTCTATGAAATGCATACTTTTCCATTCTGTAGCAAGCATTTAGAGGACTACATTAGAAAGTTAAGTCTCTGAAACATGTATTTTCCCGCATTAAAAAAGGAAGAAAGGACAAAGAACACAGCATTTATATGAATAATCCAGTAACAGTGACAGGGAAAAGAATCAAACCAGAAACCACAAGACCGCCAATCCCAGCATACTTCCTCAACGGGCCTCAACTGGAAAGGCAGAGTCACGATCAAACACAGGCCTCAGCTCTGAACTACAGAACAATCCAGGCAGAGAGATCCCAGCTGTGGATGGTCCTGGCCCAAACTTTAATGTTTCTAGCAGTGAGCAGTACAGGACTACCCTTGCTCAAACAAAGTCTGGCCCTTCCCCTTAGGTCACAGAAGACAACTGCTAGACTCTCTGAACATCCTGCCAGATAAGCATATCTGTGTTAACCTGGGGGCTTTGGTCCACACAAGACACTCTGCACTAAGAATGTGGTTTATGTTGGGGCCTCAGGATGCAGGATATCAGCTCGACCGACTTCTGGAGAAGCTGTAAGTCAACTGCGCAGCCTCACAGTTAGGCACGCAAGGCAGACCACAGTAAACATCCAGGGTACTGGAGCTCCAGTGAACTTCTCCAGGGGGCACTGCTCCCAGCACGTCAGCACACACTGTCACCGAAAGACGTGAGCACTGCCCACACAACTCCACTGGGAGGGGACGACAGGAAGCTCCACACCTCCCTCCCCAGACACACGGCTGCACCTCTGACCTTCGGCTGATTTTAATCTTTATCTTTTACAACCAATAAACTCTAACAGTGAATAACACTTTTTCTGAGTCCCACGAGTTTTTCTTGCAAATTGTTAAACCTAAGGGTAGTCTCAGGGCACCCCAGGGTATATTAGACACATTCATATCGGGAAGAGTTTCTCCTGCAATGCAATTTACAGATTCACTAAAAACTCACAATTAAAAACACAAAAAAAGATGAAAAACATGGCCTTAATAAAACGTAAGAGAGGTGTGAGCATTGCTCTCAATTCACAGCTAGTCAGCATAATACCATAATGCCATTATTATGTTCATTAATTCTTTTCATTCAACTTTTTAAAACTTTTTATTACAACCCTAACCTTTGCTCATGTAGGCATTTTCCATTAAAAAATATTAAAGAGAACGCGTTCATTAGTAAAATGTTTCGTTAATGACTAGGTTTGATCTTTATATTTTTTTGGTTAGGATGATGAGGTGTTTTTAAGGTTCTGAGTTATTTCAAAATAATCTGAAGCCATCAAAACATGAAGAGATATGGATGGTTCATGGTACACACACACAACCACTCTCTCATCCTGCAGTACTTACACTTGTAAGCAGATGCTTCAGATGGTCATTTAGACAAGGGCCAACAATGACACTTAACTGCACCAGGGCATTCAATCCTCTTTCAAACACTTCATCATCTGAATGCACCTGCAGGGTTATTGAGTTGGGAGCGTAGAGGTAACGGGAAAAGCAAAG